TTTTGATGAAGACCTTTTACCAAAATAATAAAATGTAAAGCAATGATCTACATATATAAAAATGTTTTCTTTCTTTCCTCAAAAGTGTTGCAAATGCAGACTAAGCTAAATAATTAGTTAAACACATAAATAAAACTTAAGTAACTCGATATTAATGCGCAAAACTACAATATTCTCCATGTCAGGGGTTAAAGTTTTTAGTTACGACCCCCCATTTACAAAGATCCCCTAAAATACATACAACAAATTATTAGGCAAAAAATAGATAAAATATAAAATTAACTAATAGCATATATTTATATCTTTTCAACTAACGAAAATTTACAATAAAAAGAAATCAGGTTTTTCCATTTTATAAATCTTATAAATGCGTCATAACGTAAGTGTAAAAAAAAAAAGTAATGAAATTATGATATCATAATTACAAAGAAAGAAAAAAAAAACACCACACAATTATCGAAAATCAATTTACCTATTTATAGTAACCTATTTTGAAATTGCAGTTAAAGATTTATCGAAGTACAAAAGCATTAACAATACTAAAAAAAAATCAAACTAAGATTTAAATTGTTGTCTTGGCTTTTATAATTTAAATATATATACAATTATAAACAAATATGACTTTATGTAGCACATATAAACACATTTTACAACTATTGAATGATAGATATATTTATCAAAAACTATGAAAAAAAAATAAATAATGATAAATAAAGTTATACATACAAAATGTGCTCACAACCTTCAACAGTAAATTTTTGAAATGAAAATCTAAAGACTATATACTAAGAACATTAAAAAATATAACAATATTTGTGTTACATTTATTTACCAACTATACCTTGAATAAGATGTTTATCAATTTTGGAAAACAGACTTTTAAATGCTTTAGTTCTTGAAAATGCAACGTATATTTGACCATGAGAGAAACACGGTTTATGAGATATTTCTTTTGTCTATATGTTTAATTTGGCGTTACGTAATATATAGACGATCCCTAAAAAAAAAATACTTGAAACTAAAAAGATTTTATTTAATACAATATTTGAACAATTTAAAGAATTTTATCTTTATATAGCACGCAACTCGTAAATATATCTTATAAACGGTCATTATCAATCGTAGTAACATGAGTTTAATCAATTCTCCCTCTACAATTCTCAATACTAATTCTTATTTAAGTCTCATCTAAGAGAGAGAGAAGAAGTGTTTCAAAAACAGCATGTTAGAAAAAGTAAAAAAGTCATGCAATAAATAACAGTAACTGGTTTAATTATGCTACCAATAAACAAAATTATTTTTACCTTAACTAAAAGTTAATTTTCCAGCATTTCATAATTAAGTTCCAGCTTCTCTCTAACTGTTGACAATTGATTTATTCTTTAAATTTCACATCATATTAAATTTACAAAATTAAAACCATGTCTCAACAGTAAGCAAAATAATCAAGTGATGATAAAGACAACAACAAAAAAAATGAACACAATTATGTTTAAGATTACAAAAAAAAAAAAAAAAAAAAAATTAAAATCATTTAAAATTGAAACTGTTATTATTTGTTACTATAAATAGTAAAATTAATACATTGTTTTATTTTAAAGTTTCTAATGTAAAATCAAATAAAAGACATCAACACTGCTTGACACTGAATTCTGGCAAATAAGTTTTCTGTTCATCAAGCAAAATTTCTTATATTTTAATGACAATTAATTTTATCATGCCTATATCTATTTCTTTCATATGACAACAATTTCAAATCACCTATAACCATTTACACTAATAACCTCTTCGAGCCTAATATTGTACATCTGTTGTCATTAAACATATTACCAATGTTTACACTACTGTTACAACTGAAAAAATAACCGTTTTACATTTTTATAATTGAAAAATATAAAACAAAATTTATTGACATTATTTTCAATTAGCAAAGAATTTAGAATTTAGACAATGCAAAGTTATTTTTACCTTCAGGCACAATCTTAATGCCCAAAAATAATAAATGCAGAATCTTGTATAAAAAATGAAGCAATGTCAGTCTAAAGTAATATATGCATATATGTATATATATCCAAATTTTTTCTATTCTGTTTAATTTTTTTTTTGAGATAATATTTGTATAGATTTAGAGAAATATAAAATATACTGATATATAGGCACATTTGTGTATATAAACTTACCAATCAAAAATTCAGTCAGTTTTCCACGTTAAATACATAAAATATATATCTAATATAAAATAAATCTAATATAAAATAAAACAAAATATTAAACTTATTTAAATCAGTAACAGTTTGACTGTCTAAATATTTTTATTATTAACCCTTCTATTTAAAAAAAGAAACAATTGATTTCAAGTGACTAAGAAGAACTTTAGCTCTTTCCAAGTGCACTAAAAAATAAAACAAATCTTGTTTTGCTAAGTTGCTTAGTTCTTAAGAATCTGAAAACAAATAAGTAAAAAACCAAGAACAAACAAACATTTATTTATTAAAACTGCTCTATTTAAACAAATTAAATTAAACAGAAAACAACATTGATTCTCCTTGAAACCTGAAAAACTTTTCAGCTCAAATTTGCTTGCAGACCTTACTTATAAAACCACTTGAATAAGATAAGCATCAAAAAAGCTTAGAAGTTACTTAAAAATGGTATATGCAACATTGAACTTTAAATGTTGACTGGAGTAGATATTTTTAAAAAATTCATAAAAATTCAAAATGATTTGTTCTTCTATAGCAAATAAATACACCACAAATCTGAAGTTCATAATGTAACGAATAAGTAAATACAATGAAAAACATCATATGTTAATTGAAAATCAATGTACCTGATAGAGATAAGCTATTGTGATACCTGAGTAGTAGTTGCTAAATAATGTTATTTCATGATAAACAAAATGTATTTATAGCGAAATGATGTCTTGAATGTATTTTAGTAAAAAAATAAAAGCAATGAGTTCTAGTAATGAAACTACCTAATAATCATTTTTAACAGCTGACATCAACGTAAAGATAAAAAAAGGTAACAACATTACGCGAAAAATTATTAAAGATAATGCAATGTGTTTTCAGAACAGTTATATTATAAGCTAGGTTAACTTAGACCACTTAGAACACTTAGACCTAAAGCAGTAACATCGCTTGACTGGTATGGTTAATAAATCTTGCTCTACACGTTTGCCAAGTCACTCCACTTTGAAATGATGGAAACAACATTATATAAACATATATACTAATTATAAAACACAATATATTTTTTTAATGTTACTTAGCATATAAAAACACCACATTTAACAATCATGCACTAATTAGATATAATACATTTCATACTATTATAACAACACACTTATATACCAAATTTTTTGATAAACAACTTCCACTCATTGGACAATTGTATTTTTGTTTACAATTACAATTTTTTGTAGTTTTTTCATTTAGGATTTTTTTTTATTTAACAAAGCATTATTGTGACTTTTTATAATTCTATCCATTTTTTTTTCTGCAACTATAGCTAACTTTAATTGTATGTCGATTAAAAATATTATGTAATTTATTAGAGGGAGGGGAATACTTATCGACCAACTTTGAAAAAACTTTTTCTATGTTAGTTAGAAACACTTTTGCTATATGGAAGGGGGGGGGGGGGTTGAACCAAATTATACTTCTAGTTGTATTTCGGTTTTTTGTATTCTTTTTTTTAGGGTCAAATTTTAGTTCAAAATTATGAACTTATATATTTTCATTAGAAGAGTTATGGTTTAACCTGCTATTAATTAAATTAAAATTTATTTTGGAATTTGGGGCTGATGATTTGAGTTAATATTAATGTACATTAATATTAACTCAAATGTACATGCCGGCCTTAGGTGGGGGGGGGGGGCGAGGTTGGAGGCCGCTCAAGGGCGCTAGGAAACTGGGGCGTCAAACGTTTTATGCAAACTTTAACAATATAATAAATAAAAAAAATGTCAACCTTGTCGATTTTCGATATTTTATTTTTTTTATAAAAACAATTTCTTTAAACAATTTATTTATTGTATTATTACCTGTTAAAAATTCTTTATGCAAAATTAATAATTTGATTAAAAGTGTTTCAATCATAGCATATATTTTGTTACTTAAATTCATTTTTTACATGTATATTTCTCGGCGCCAATTATTTTGCGTTTTATTTATTTAAAGTTTACATTTTAAACATTATTTTCGGTACGAGTGGCGAGCCGTTGTTTATTAATTTGTAGAAGAAATTTAAAGTTGTATTTGTGATTCAAATTCAGTTTTTGTCAAGTTTTCAAATTTTGCGGTAATAAAAAGCAGGTAAGTATAAATAATAAAATTGTTTATGAATTATTAGCTTACAAGTAATTTTGTATTTTAAAATTTTAGACAAATAGAAACTGTCAGCAGCAATCAATGGAGAGTACTCATAATAAAGAAAAAAATGTTTTTAAAACTTATAATAATAAGAAACCATCTGGTGCTTAATACAGAAAACGTAAAGTAGAAAAAGTGGATAATTTGAAGAAAAATTATAAAAAACTTGAAAATTTTTTTACATCGGAAAATAGTGATTGTAATAAAATAAAGGAAGGAGAAAATGTTGCGCATGTACTTAGTGATACATCAACCTGCGATGAAGAAGACGGAATAGTGTCAGTTGGAAATGTTCACTACGATGAAAAAGATATCGATAACGAAAATGATCATGGCCAAGATGGTGATGTATATGATCGCACCAAAGAAACAGTAATCGATTACTCAGACTGTGGTTTGCGGCCAATTCATCGCAACATTCGATTTATTGATTATGTAATTAATATAGGTGCAATACAAGTGAATTTGGACACATATCCACGCGATAATAGAAGACGAAATTTTTCAAATACTTATTACAACCGAAAACTTTCAAATGCTGAGGTTATTTGACGACGTTGGCTTGTGTACTCAGTTTCTAAAGATGCGGTATTTTGTTTTTTCTGCAAACATTTTGATTTCAACATGAATTTAAAGTTAAACGGAAATGGATTAAATAAATGGAAGAATTTAACAGAAGCATTAAAAATTTACGAAAATAGTAAGTCATACAGAATTGCTTATCAACAATGGATTGAGACAGAAATACGAATGAAAGCTGGTGAAACTATTGATAAACAAGAACAAAAACTAATCGAGAAGGACAGTTTAAGGTGGCGAAGTGTTCTTGAATGATTGATGAACATTACTTTATACTTGGCAACAAATAATATGGTCTTCAGAGGTTCTTCTGATAAATTGTATGCAGTTAATAACGGCAAATTTTTAGGATTGGTACAATTGCTCGCTAAATTTGATCCTATCATGTTAAACCACGTCATGCTAGCTCTTAAAAGAGATATTTCTGATCATTACTGTAAAAAAACCATTCAAATTGAAATGATAGATATAATGGCATCAAAAGTAACCAGCATAATTATATGCAAAGCTTTAAAAAGTACATATTATTCTATTATTGCGGACTGCACTCCTGACGTATCTCACAACGAACAGCTCTCGCTTTCGATTAGAATTGTAAGTATCAGAATATCCTATAAAAATAAATGAACACTTTCTTGGGTTTTTCAATGTTAACGACACGACAGATCTTGGTTTAACAGAAATCATAATTGGAGCTTTAAAAGATTTTGGACTGAATATAAGCTTTTGTCGAGGGTAAGGTTACGATAACGGTGCAAATATAAAAGGTAAAAAAATAGGTCTACAAAAGCGAATAATAGATTTGAATTCTTTGGCTTTTTACCTTCCATGTGGAATTCATTCTCTCAATTTAGTTGTTTGTGACGCAGCGCAGTCTTCACTAAATTCCATTAACGTTTTTGGCAAAATACAAAAATTATTCACATTATTTTCTTCATCAATTTCACGCTGGAATGTTTTACTTATTCATACAACAAACTTCACTCTTAAACGATTATGCAACACTCGGGAAGCCAAAATTGAGAGCCTTAAAGCCATCCGATACCAAATAAGCAGCGTACATGATGCTTTAATTACTATATATGAAACTGAAACCAAAACTCCCGATATTGCACACGAAGCGCAAACATTAGCAGAACAATTAAAAGACTATAGTATTTTAGTTTCTTTAATTGCATGGTACAATGTACTATTCCAAATAAACGTTGTTAGTAAAACAATGCAAGTCAAAGACATGGATCTAGTACATTGCGCTGAAATGTTGAAAAAATGCATCACAGTTTTGGAAAATTACAGAACGTTTGGCTTTAAACAAGCAACGGTTGATGCCAAAGAGTTAGCTGAAGAGTTAAACATCGATGCAATATTTAAGCCACTTAAAAGAGTGCGACGAGTGAAACGTCATTATGATGAAAATGCTGCTGATGAACCAACTCAAAATCCCGAGAAGAAATTTAAAGTGACATTTTTTAAGCTTTTATTAGATACAAGTCTGTCGTCAATAAATGAAAGATTTGAACAACTTAATGAATATGTAATTATATGCAGTTTGAATTAATTTGGATAATTTGCCCATCAAGAATGAACTTTTAAAATTGTGTAAACAATTACAAGAATAATTAACTGTAAATACAAAATCTGAATTTGATGGTGTTTTGCTATGCAACGAACTAATAAGTGTACATTTTTTATTAAAGATAAATTAGGCAATGTTGAAAATGAAATAAATACAAAAGAGACGACACCACTTTTTGTACTGAATTTTATTAAAAAACATTGTCTACAAGAGTTATATTGAAATACATGGATTGTTCTGCGCATTCTTCTTACAATACCTGTTACTGTTGCAAGTGGAGAACGTAGTTTTTCTAAACTGAAATTAATCAAAGCATATTCAAGAAATACCATGTTGCAAGATCGATCTAATTCTCTATCTACGTTATCAATCGAGCATGATATAGTTGAAAATTTAGATTTTTCTAGTTTGATAAGAGATTTCGCGGACAAAAAAGCTAGAAAAGTTAGATTTTAAAATTTAATCACTCTTGTTTATATAGTTAGAGGATTTATTATATGTTTAATTAAAACATTTGTTATTTTAAAAGCAGCGTTGCGTTGTCTGTTTATTTACTCACTCGTTTCTATTAACCCATATCATGAAAAGTCTAAGTTTATAATTTTAATAAAAAATTTATTAAATAAGAAACTTGATGCACAATATGAATCTCTTTGCATTAAACTATATATTCCCTTTAGCACTCTTGTTCATCATTTTAGAGCATTAGTCTTGTTGTTAATGGTAACAACCCACCCATATATACCTAGGGGCGCGTTGACAAGTTTTGCCCAACATGTCAAAAAAGCTAAGGCCGGCGCTATATATATATATATATATATATATATATATATATATATATATATATATATATATATATATATATATATATATATATATATATATATATATATATATATTTAATATATGTATATATACATATATAATATAAATGTAATATACACATAAATTAAGAAGTGATATAAGAAATTGTTGTCCAATTACTCAGTCTTCAAGTAAAAATTTATCACGGTTTTTCGGTGTTTTACAACAACTGGTTTTACAAGGTCATGATGAATGTTAAAAACTCTTATTAAAGAAATGTTTGAGTAGAAGTTACATTTCTAGTCAGCTGTTAATAACTGTGTGTTGAGTTTGTTTTGAAGATTATTTTTGACTTTATTTTTAATTACATTTATCTAAATTTTTATTTTTCTGTTTTGAAAATTAAAACGATTTTTTTATTTTATTTTGTCAATATAAGTTTTTTTCAAGTAGTTTATAAAAAAACGAGTCTTAAGCTTGAGGATACTCATTAAGATTAGAATGTGGAATAATTTAACTTTCATTTTTGTTTACAGAGAATGACAAAGCACACCTCCAGCTAGATTTCGATAATGCTGTAGAATGGTCCAAAAACTGGTTATTACTATTCAACTTGGACAAATGCGAATGCATGCACGTAGGTTGCTACAAACAAGTCTACGTCTACACAATGACTGATCAGTTGGGAATAATACAAGAACTGGATACGACTTCAGTCAAACGAGATCTAGGTGTTTTTATTTCAGAAGAATTAAAATTCAAGCATTTAGTTGAAGCAGCGGCTGCAAGAGCAAACCAGGTACTTGTTCGGCTTAAGAAATTCTTCAGAAGCCAAAGTCTCACACTTTGGAAAGTCCTTTACAAATGGTATGTTAGACTATACTTTAAATTCGCTATCCAATTGTGATTGACACATCTGAAGGGAGACATCAAGGCTCTCGAAAGCATTCATAAACGTGTGACGAAGCTGATCACATACATCATACATAAATAATATGAACAAACACTTACGATTCTAAGAATAACTAAATTAGAAGATAGACGAGTTAGAAATGATTTACAGGGTTTATGCGAAATATAAAACATTTTTTAAGAAAATATAAAACATTTTTTAAGAAAATATAAAACATTTTTAAAGAAAATATAAAACATTTTTTAAGAAAATACAAAACATTTTTTAAGAAAATATAAAACATTTTTTAAGAAAATATAAAACATTTTTACAGAAAATATAAAACATTTTTACAGAAAATATAAAACAAATTTTAAGCTAAGATAAAACATTTAATTAGGTAATTAAATGTTTAATATTTTAACATAAAATATTCAATTACGTAATTACTCTATACTATGGAATTTATGTGGTTTATTCACAACAAAGAAAGAGATCTGTAAAAATATATTATTCAAGCTTTATTTTGTTGTTTTAAAATAAATGGAAAACAAGAGACAAAGAAAAAAAAGAGCACTTATTACAAAGGATATTGTAAAAACAATAAGAAAGTCAATTCTTAAAGAAATGAAGTTAAAAGAAATTGCGGAAGAAGTTGAAATATCAGTTTCTGCAACACGTTCTATTTCTGATAAAATCTGTAAAGGACTTAGTGATGATGAAATCGCATCAGTAAAAAAAGGAAGGCGCAGCTCTTATGACGAGACACTTAAATCTGAAATTCGAATGTTAATTGAGCATGACCCATCTCATACGTTAGCATCATTGAGAAACATTCTCGTTGAAAGGAATATTAATGCATCTATACCAACAATATCTAAATATTTGAAGTCGATGGAGTTCACTAGAAAACGACTTACATTAGTACCAAAAGAAAGGAACTCGCCGCAAAACATTGATTTAAGACAAAGTTTTTGCAGGACTATTAATTCGATTCCTGACAATAACTTAGTGTTTCTAGATGAAACAGGCTTTAATTTACATACTTCTAAACAGTATGGTTATTCTATAAAGAATACAAAATGTTTTGTTACAGTGCCAGCAAATCGTGGAAAGAATGTAAGTCTCATGGCCGCTATAACAGTTAATGGTATTTTAAGCTTTAAGATAGTGGATGGTGCCTATAATGGCAATCTTTTTTGCGATTTTATAACCAACAATTTAAGACCATATTTCCAAACGTATCCCCATTCTGTACTAGTATTGGATAATTGTGCATTTCACCGTAGAAGAGATGTAATCAATTTGCTCAGCCAATCCAGTGTTTCAGTTTACTTTTTGCCACCTTATTCACCACAATTGAACCCGATTGAGGAATACTATAGTTGTCTTACAGCTAATTATACTTCTATAAGGCCGTTTCCAAAAACTAGCAATGAAGTTAAGGCTACTTTAAATTCGCTTATACCGACAATTGGCGTTGATTTTTGTGGTTGGTATTATAATATGAGAAGATGGGTTTTGAAAGGCATAGCAAGACAAGAATTTTACTAAAGTGGATACTTTGCTTTTTATATTATATCTTTAAGTATAATGAGTTATAATTATATAAAAGATACTCTTTATTCTTTAGAAATTTATGAATAACTTTATGTATCATAATTGCACTATTGATTCAACTACAATGTTTTATATTTTCTTAAAAAATGTTTTATATTTTCTTAAAAAATGTTTTATATTTTCTTTAAAAATGTTTTATATTTTCTTAAAAAATGTTTTATATTTTCTTAAAAAATGTTTTATATTTTCTTAAAAAATGTTTTATATTTCGCATAAACCCTGTAATTCAGCAATATAAAATTGCGCATGATGTTAAGAAAATCGAGTTTGTTGTGCGTCAAGTTTACGCGCAAAGGCTTTCCCAGTATAACCTTGGTGGCAGTAGCTTAAGACTTACTAAGCCGATAGTGAAGAACCGTGTCGAAAAAAAAAATTCTTTACAAACCGCGTAATCAACGCATAGAATGCTTTATCATCAAACGTTGTTAACGCCTTTTCAACGGACGCATTCAAAAAGTGATTCGACGCATTATATATATATATATATATATATATATATATATATATATATATATATATATATATATATATATATATATATATATATATATATATGTATATATATATATGTATATATATATATATGTATATATATATATACATATATATATATATATATATATATATATCATATATATATATATATATATATATATATATATATATATATATATATATATATATATATATATATATATATATATATATATATATATATATATATATATATATATATATATATATATATATATATATATATATATATATATATATATATATATATATATATATGAACTAAATGCAAATATGAAACACCAAGATAGCATGGGTAGGCGTTGTGATGTTAACAACGGAAAAAGTATTTCTATGTTGCAAGAAATGAAGTTCTAATAAAATAACAGTTGAGCTGTAAGAGTTTGAATCTAACTACTTTTTTAATCAAGGTCTTTTTAATCAAGGGCAACAACATAATCAACACCAAAACCATCAAGATAATATTTAGAGTTGTTAGCAATTAATAAAAGAGATAGTGTTTAATATTAAGCATGTCCAGCCAACTATCTGTAGCAAAAACACTATCTTCTTAAATATCAACAATAAATCTAGTAGTAATAGTAGTTATACAGCCTTAACCGAAATCACCTGTTTCTATACAAATGCTTCTTTATTTTGTAATAAAATAGACATTCTTGCTGAAACTGTCACAACATTAAATTCCCCTATGATAGTAGCAAATATAAAAACTTGGTTTAATGACTACTCAAGCATCCAGTTACCAACAACAGACCTGATTCAATGATGGTGTTGCAATTTAAATACGAAAAGATATACAAGCATCCTACTTTAATGCAAAATGAGCTTCATAGTAAAATGCCAGGCCAGGTATGGTGTATAATATCTTACAAAAGTAAGAAATTCATTTTTGGATGTGTTTATCGAGAGCCATCTGCTAACATAGAACTCAACAGAACAATTAATTGTAGCTTAATTTTTACTGCAAATATAACAAAGAAAAAAGGCATAGAGTCACAAATAATTGGTGATTTCAATCACCCTCAAGTACAGTGGACGGCAGCTGGTGGCAGTGCTAAAAGTGCAACTATGTCAAGCACTGACTTTTTGGAGTCTGTAAACACTGCAGCTCTTGCACATCTTGTCAAAAAAC